TCTCTGTCACGAGGAGGTCTTCTCATTATTGTCCTGAACCCCCATTTACTTTTTGCAGGGTTTTTCCCAATCTTTCTTGATTTTTCGGAGGCCGCCCAGGTTGTACACCCGTGTCCATTTGATTTTTGAGTGTTTGAAGATCATCGGGTCTGTTTCTATCCACGTTTCACCTTTGTTCTCGAACTAATACTTCTTTCCTTTATTGTAGATGCTTTAATTTGATTTTTGGACTTCGGCGGATCGCTATCACGCAGCGTGCAAAGTTCGAACCTATTCCTCCAACTTTACCTCTGGACTGGCCCGACGCAACGTATCGCTTTCCGGAAAACATTCCTCTGCTGCTGTGCCTTCCTAACGTGAGTTGTGTTTATTCTTTCGTTCTCTTACCAATTGTCTTACCAATGTGTGTCTAGTGTTCTAATTCGCTGTTTCGATGTCCGGCGATTGCAACGTGACAGCACATAGTGCTGCTACCACGTTTTCTTGTTACAACATACCCCTTGCCACTCAAACTCGATTTTTCGAGTTCCGGGAATCGCCCTCACTCTATCCACCCTCCTTGACATCGTAAGCTTGTTCCTACACCCCTCCTTTGTTTTTCTTTTCTCATACCCTTCTACAGTCTTGTAACGATTTTTTGATTTTCTAAATTCTGGCCATTGCTACGTGCTGGTAAGTTTCTATAAAGTTACATTCTTGTTCACGAACTAATCCTACTTTCTTAGATGTTCTAATTTGATTTTTCGACATCCGGGGATCGCTATCACGCAGTGTGCCACCCCGCTCTTCCAATATTGGCCCGACGCAACATATTGCGTTCCAGCAAACACACTGATATGGCTGTGTCTTCCAAACGTAAGTTGTGTTTATTTTTTCGCTCTCTTACCAATCAATCCTTCTAGATGGGTGTCCAGCATTCTAATGACGTCCGGCAATCGATACATGGAAGCACATAGTGCTACTACCGTGTTTTCTTGTTACAACATGACCCCTCTCCATTTAAATTCGATTTTTGGAGTTCCCGCAACCTTCCTCAACCTACCCACCTTCCTAGGCGTCGTAAGCTTATCCCTATACCCCTTCTTTTGTTTTTATTTTCTCAGATTCCCTTCCAGATCCACTCTTGCAATTATCTTTGAATTTCAAAGTCCGGCCATCGCTATGGTGTGCTGCCCATCGT